GACAAAGGTGACATCATGGCCATAACTGACAACAAGGCTTAGCATACACACAGTGAGCAACGACCCCTGCCAATGAGGCCAACGAGGCAGGCGCCTTCTACCCCGACGACAGAATCAGGGGCTCTGCGATACATGAGCTCCATCCGGGGTATGACAGGCCAGGTCTGGGTGGTGGGGAGCGAGTCTTTGAGCTCTTGGCTCTGGCTTAGCTCTTGTCATTGTTCGTTCTTTTTTTTTTTTTTTTGCAGTACGTGGGCCTCTCACTGCTGTGGCCTCTCCCGCTGTGGAGCACAGGCTCCGGACGCGCAGGCTCAGCAGCCATGGCTCACGGGCCCAGCCGCTCCGCGGCATGTGGCATCTTCCCAGACCGGGGCACGAACCCGTGTCCCCTGCATCGGCAGGCGGACTCTCAACCACTGCGCCACCAGGGAAGCCCTCATTGTTTGTTCTTGAAGGCATGGGGATGAGTAACAGCTCCTGTAACTCTTAAGCTACTCAAATATTTCTTGGGACCATCTCAAACCATTCCTTATGGTACATGTGACTTGGAGGGTGGTCCCACAGACGGATGGCTTCAGCAGTCAGTCACTCAAGTGCCCGCACACAGTTATGCCAATTCTGACTCCCTAGTCCCCCTCCTATCCTCAGTAGCTCCATCTTCCCAACTTATTTGTCAGCTCCTTCGACTCCTCGCTAGTCCTGTCCCCCGGGGCCCTCATTTAATTCCTCAGTTCCTTCCAGAAGAGAGAAACAAGGCTTTGAGGCTGTTTCTACTTCTCAGGCCCTGGGCGTGTGACCACAGAAGGATGGGCAGACTTATCTACACCATTGCTTCTCTATCTCCTTTCATTTTCCCCAGGCACTTCGGTGAGACATGGTAGGATATGACTTTACGGCATTTCAAAGGTGCTGAGGGTCTGAAACTTGAGTCCAAGTCCAGCCCAAGGAGCTGCCCAGCCAGGTCCACGTTAGCTCTAGAAGTGATGCTTGCTGGGAATCCTGTACACATCATCCCCGCATGTTTCTGAGGCAGTGTGGAGGAGCTGATCACGGGTCCTGTAGAAAGGCAGGCGTGGATGCCAAGTCCAGCCTGGACACAGGACTTCACCTCCCTGAGCCTCAGGGCTCAGTTTCCCCACCTGTCCCACGAAGGGTAAATATTGACCTCAGCGGAGATCTAAGGGGGTGTTTGGCAGAGTGTTTGGCACTCAATAAGCATCTGGCAGCTGCTATCCATCATTAGTCTTTTTACTCTTTCAGAGGACTCTTTCAGGGAGAGGGCTAGGGTGGGATGAGGTGAGAGATGGGTGTTAGAATCACAGAGGCTCTGATATGACCGAGACTAGGACGCCTTTAGGGAGTGGGACGTGTGGAAGTGAAAGGCCCATTGGTCGGGAAGGGCTGCTTTTCTGGGACCAGCCAAGTATCTAGAGGCCTGGGTTCTGATCCAGACGCCCAGCTGGTCTTGGATCCCAGTGTAGACACAGTAGACAGGCCTGGATTTCCAAGCCAAGGCTGAGAGCAGGTGACGGGTGGGGGGAAGCCATAACAATGCATGCCTCCTTTAAGCTGATGGGCCAGACCCACGGTGCTCTCCATAGCAAACATGTGGTATGCTAGGAAACAATTCCACTGAGACTACTCCTTCTGGAAACAGGGGGAAAATGTGGACTATCTCGAGTTCAAAAATGTGGGCTCCCAGGAGGTCTGTAAAGTTGAGGTGGTGGGATGGAAGTTGGCTGATGAGGTTCGGTTGTGTTTTCTTTGGCCTCCTGGGCCTCCTGTGCTCAGGCTCGGCACTGTGGGCCTTGTCACTTGGGTGACCATGTTTACGTTCTTGAGAGCACTGAGTGCCAGGGAAGGCTCAGCTAGGCCATCCTGGACGACAGGTGCCTGCCCAAGGCTCCCTTCCACGGCAACTGGGGGAGGCTTTGCTACCATGAGCTCAGACATTCCCTTGCATCCTTCTTGTGTCTCCAAGGGACCCCGGAGATGGTTCTAGAGTGGGGGTGTTGCAAGAACCACTGGAGGCCATCTTGTCAGCCCCCTTCCATCTCCCAGATTCTGCAAATGAGGAACCGAGACAGAGAGGGCGAGGACCTCGCTCAAGGTCACAAGGCTATTTGGGAACTCAAATCCATGGTCCAACTTGTTCTTGTGATCAGCCTGAGAAGCATCTTGCTTTCCTTGGGACCAGTACTGCCCTCAGCTCCTCAGGAAGAAGGCTTATGGCTTCTTGGCATCTACAAGTTCGACCCTCTGAACCTCGACCTTGCTGACATGCAAATTGGAACAGGTTGCTTCCTGAGGGACAGTCTTCAGTAGCTCCCCAGGGCCTCTGCAGAAACCCCACGCCCTTTGTAGGACACGTAGGGCCCCTCAAGATCTGTCCTCTGTCCTCTTGTCTGCCGTCAGCCTCCAGTCGTACGGGCTAGCAGTGGGTCTCTCGTGTCCTCCTGCCTTTGCACATCCTGTTCCCTCTCCTCGAATGCCCTTCCCCTCTTGCTCTTGAAGGCTTCTCAGGCTCACTCTGTGGCCTCTTCTGGCTCCTGGGCTCAGCCACTCCTTCCTCTGAGCTCCCAGAGCTCTTGGTAATTCCTCTCTTAGCACTTAGCTCATTGACTTAGAATTATTTGTTTACATGTCTCTTCTCCCCTGGGTAGGAAACATGTCTTACACATCTGTATGTCCCCCCTCCCCCAGCAGGGCCTAGCAGAGTGCTGGACGCCCAGCTTAGGCTCAGCCAATGTATGTATGCAGAGTGAATGACCGAAGGACTCATCTGTCCTCAGAGGTCCCCTGCACGGTGCCTGAAATGTAATCGTCTGTGAGCCCTGCCTGGTTCCTGGCTCCTGTTCGCCTTTGCCTTCCCACAGCTGGGGCCTCTTTTCTGTCTCCAACAGCTGGCCCAGCCCTGCCCAGATTCTGGGGCCAGCCACAGCCTTAGCACAGGAAGATTTAAAGAGCCAGTGTTCAGAAGTGCAGGTGACTCAACCTCCCATGAGCTGCACCATGAGTTCTACTGTCACCGGCGTCTAGGCACTTGGTTCCCACCATATCCCATGAGACAGGCAGCTTCCCAGAGACCATTTTCCCTGGACCCTAATCCTTCTTATGAAAGGTCCTTGCCCTGGTCTAGAACTGGGTCCCTGAGGATGTGTGTCACTTCCTCTTCCCCATGGCCAGCGCCATCGGGCCTCTCTGATACCCGCTGACCCATTTAGGTGGCAAACCTTCATCGGGCAACCTACCATGGGCAGGTACTGGGTCTCTCCTGCCCCAGAGCTCAGAGTCAGGGTGGGAGGGGCAGAGAAGACATTGGTGATCAGACAAGGGGCTGTGGGGTCACAGGGCAAGGTGCCGAAGTGACCTCAGAGGTGGGGTCTGAGCTGAGATGGAGGGGGAAGGAGAAGTTATGGGCAGGAGGTGGGTGGGTGGGGTGCTTCCTCCTGGTTGAGGGCTCTGGAAAGGAGGGGCTGGAGAAATCCACCGCCCCCGCCCCCCATACAGACCCAGAACTTTCAGCCATGTCCATGGGGCTGCCTGTCCCTGTCCTGGGAGCATGATCTTCTCAGGGGAGGGACTGAAAAGTGAGAGGACCAAGATGGGCTCCCTCCCGTGTTTCTCAAAACCAGTCAGGCCCACAAAAGCTGTCTCTTCTTTATTTATTCAGTCAATATTGAGTGAGTCCCCACCACATGCCAGGGACTGGGCTGGGGGTCTGGAGGCTGACTGGGGGAAACAAGATGCAGCCCTGCCCTCAAGGGGCTCCTAGGCTGGTAGGTAGAGAGACGCAGAAATAAGCCATGAGAGCACAGTCTGAGCTGAGCAGTGGTGGGGTGCCCGACCCTCTCCAGGTGGTGGGAGGGAGCAATGTCTGGGAGGGGACGGCTATAGGCACCCAGGCAGCACCACTAGTGCCTCACATGTGTCCCAGAACCCTCACATGGGATCCAGGGGATCTAGCGAGGCAGGTGGGCAGAGGGGCATCCCCCATCCTCTGGAGTCATCAGATGACCTTAGACAATGTCTGATAACATTTAGCAGAGGCAGCAGAGCCCAGGGGCTTCGGAATCTTTCTAGAGCTGGCTTCTAATCGACTCTCCACTACTTGAGAGCTGAGTGACTTTGGGCTAATGACTGAGCTTCAGTCTGCTCATCTGTAAAATGGGTTTAGTGTTAGTGCCTCCCTCTAGGGTTGCAGCGAGCACTCGAGGAAATAATTATGTGAAAGCGCTTAGCACATAGTAGCTGCTCAACTTCCGTTGCTTGATTATAATAACAGTAATAGACAATAACTGGGAAGCACAGATTCCTGAGGAAAGAAAGGGAGTTCCTGTGTGTGTGTGTGTGTGTGTGTGTGTGTGTGTGTATTGGGGGGTCGGTTTTTAGGGGGCTGGGTGGAGGGAGCCACAAAAGCCAGGGCCCTTGGGCAGCTCTCCAGGGCAGGGGCAGCGCCCTTCCCCCTCCCTCTCCCGCCCCCGCAGCGAGGCGCGCGGTCGGCGGGAGGCGCAGGTGTCCAGGGCCTCCCGTGCGTCCCCATCCCTTGCGGCTTTGGCCGAGGGCCCAGCTCCCTTCTGCCGTCCGCCCCGCGTCCTCCCCTAACCTCGGGTCTGGGCTGGCGAGCAGCGGGGCCGGGAAAGTTTGAGTCACAGTGAGGGGAGCGGAGGAGGCGGGGCCCGTGACCCTGAACGAGGTGGGCTCTAAGACCGCCTCGGTCTCCCAGCAGGGGGACCCCGCCGCAAACCCACGTCCCGCGCGCGCCGGCCGCGGTCCGACGGAGCGAGGCGCCGCGCTGCAGCCGTGCGTCGGGTGGCCGCTGAGTGCACCAGGGCGGTCGCGCTCTCAAGGCCTCGCGAGCCTCCACAGCGGCAGCCGCAGCCCCTCGGCCGCGCTCAGCAAAGATGCCCCGGGCACCGCTCCTGCGGCTGCTGCTGGCGGTCTCGGCAGCAGCGGCGGTGGCCGGCGAGCCCGGGACGGCGCTGCCCCCTACCACGGGGGATGCCACCTTGGCCATCGTCTTAGACGTTACCGGCTCCATGTGGGACGACCTGATGCAGGTGATGCACGGCGCCTCGCGCATTCTGGAGCACAGCCTGAGCCGTGGCAGCCAGGCCATCGGCAACTACGCGCTGGTGCCCTTCCGTGATCCAGGTAGCGACCCCCCCGAGCCCCCGGCGTCCGTCGTGCCCCTGGCCCGGTGCCCTGGTGCGGTGCGCTCACCCGCCCACATTGCGTCCCGGGCGCACTGGACGCCTGCAGGCTGCACCGCGGCCCGGCGGGGGCGCCTTCTTGACGCCTTCACTCTGCCCGAGGCCGGGCACCTGGGGCAGGCCTTGCAGCCGCCGGGTCCTTTCCCTGGGAACCTGCTCTCCCCTTCTCCCGCGTCTCCCAGCTTGCGTCGTCAGGCCAGTGACGGAGAGGCGGGGGCACTGCGTTCAAATGCCGCGCAGCCACCTCCTGGCTCTGCGACTTAAGCAAGTGACCTCACCTTCCGGAGCCGCACCTTCCCCCTTTAGGAAACGGGGCGAGAAGGGCCTCCCAAACTTGCTGAGATGTTGAAATGGGTCCTTCGTGCCCAGGGCCTGGCACGCATGAGCCTCCGCAAGGTTTGCGGATTTGCCTTTGTTAATTCTTCAAATTCGCTCCCGTCGTGGGCTTCGGGGGCCAGAAGAGCCACCCCGGCTGGAGAGCTTCGCGGCTTGCCCCTCACCTGTTCTCGCGAGAAAAACAGCAGCCACATCGCCTCTACCCGCAGTATTCTCACTGCCAGGTCCCCCCACCTAACACCTTTTACCCTGCAGACAGCACCTCCTGGCCTGCAGCCCCCTATCTTTCAGCTAGGTGTTAGGGGCCTGCCCTTGAAAAGATCCCTGGGAGACCCCTCTGTGGGGAGTTTCAGGGAAAACAGCTGTGGAGCGTGCTTAGACTCCCAACTTTCTGAGTGGAAAGACTGCTTTTTCTCCAACATTCTTAATGAAAAACTTCAGACTTACAGCAAAATGGGGGGGTGGGGGTGGGAAATACATAAACACCTGTCTGCCCACCACCCAAGATCCTGTGATTAATTTTGCTCCGTTTTATCACGTTTCTCTCTATTAGTCACCTCTCTATCTAGTAGGATAGCTTTAAAAAGCCAAAAAAATAAAATAAAAATGGCAGATTCCTTGCAGAATTGCTCTGCAAAGTGTTCTTGTGCTGAAAAAATACATAATGGCCCAAGGCTATATGAGCTAGTAAGCCCTTTTAGAAGAATTTTTCTTTATTAATCGCAGCATCATTACAGATATTTGAAAAATGGGCCACAGTCGGTGTACATAATCCCGTGCAGCCCTTAGGCTGAGTGTGGAGTTCCTCTGCTTCCAGGAGTTCTGGGCTCTGTAGGGCTCTGCAGCTCAAAGCACAGAAGTCAGGGGTCTAGAAAAAGTTTCCTGGGAACATCAGAAGGACAGCTCCCATCTGGGGGTCAGGGGGCAGCAAGGCTGGTGGAATTGTGAAGACGTGGGGTGTGAGGTGTGTCCTGGGGGGTTTCAGCTCTGACGCAGTTCACCCTCTACCCCCCTAACTTTCTCACTCCCTTTCTGGGTCATTCTTGGGCCTCCAAAGATATTGCATTGAGAGAGCTTAGGGATCATTTAATCCAACGCTTCTCTTACAATTGGAGAAACTGAGGCTCAGGACACGGATGGGACTTATGCAAGGCCACCTGCCAGGCTGATGTAATTTCTGATTCATAACCCATATTTGTCTCTAAAATGCTTGGCTGCAGTTGTAGGGCAGGAGAGCAGCCTGTTGGAACCAGACGTAGCGTCCTGGGACCCATAGTGTCTTCACTGCCCCCTCTCTGGCCATCATCTTCGTGAAGCCTTCGTGCCATCCCCAACCTCTCCTCTCTGGGCGCCGAGCGCGTGCATGACTCTCCAGCCTTCACTCCATCTTCTATGAAACAAAAAAATCCCATCCTTCTCTCCGCCCCTGCTCCCCAAACCATACTCCCTACAGACACCCCAGGTCCAGTGGAGGGAGACCTCAGCGTTTATTGAGCCTCTGCTGTGTGCACAATCTTGTGAGGCTTCCAGTGTGAAGGGGGCAGGGTTCACATCAAGGAGCCGGCAGTCTGCTGGCGACAAGCCAGGCAGAGGGTGGAAGGTGTCACTCCTGACGGCTCCTGACTAGCTAGCAAGGGGAAGGACCGACCAAAGGCTCTCTGAGGAAGCATCATTGGAGCAGGACTTGAAGAAGATGAAGGGAAATTTAGCAGCTTTGGACCATTTGGCAAATGCTAGGTGCCAGGGATGCAGTGGGACGGAGGTCTCCTGAGCACATGGAACTCGCTGGGTGGTGGCTGACATGTAGGGGCAGGTGTGTGTGGGTGTGGAGCCAGGGCGTAGGAGGGGTGAAATGGGAACGCGGGGAGAGGCGAGATTGGTCCTGGCTGTGACTGTGGAACTGAGGACGGAGCACTTAGATTTCCTTCTATGGACTGCGGGCAGCCACTGAGGGCTTCTGAGCAGGGATTGGATCTGTGGTTCGGGTTAGGCTGTGTCTTCTGAATCAACCAATGGAATTCCCTTTGGTGGAAGAGGAGCTGAGAGTCAGGGGTTTTAGCTGACAGTTCAGCCCCGCCCCCCCCCCCCC